TCATTTGGGAAACGAATCAAAGCATGGACAATAGATCGCAAGCCACTAGGAAAAAAAGAAGTCTGGACAGGACAGATTTACGGATGAGGTTTCATCAAGTAATTGGTCATAAAATTAAGCGAGTTCCCGTAGGCCTCTAACGAAGAATTCCATGGGGTTCGCACCAACCGATATATTGGATAATTTTTCCAGTATTTTTCCTTCAGTATTAGAACTTCCAGATTGAAGCTAGCATTTAATAACCATGACACGCTGAAGAACACCATCGCAGGGGTAGGCAAAACACGCTCAAACCATTATGGGTTGATCGTTTCAGCATAGGATAAGGCTCAAAAAGAGGAATACTCAAGGAGTAATCATGCTTTCGGAATAGGATTTAACACTAGTGTCGTCCGAACAAACTTCAGCATATTTATTTTTCAAGTGAGTAATGGAGGATTGGATTAAATTTCAACTGGAGCCTTATGTGATTCGCCAATCAAAATCCTTGGGCTTAGGTTGCCGGTTGCCATCATTGAACGACAGGTCTTCGTGACTATGGGGTTCCACCCCGTCTGCTGTCCATGACAAATGTGTGATTAAAAATAAATATTCTAAATGGAAGTTCGTCGTGTATATAGCAAATGAAGCGTGAACTGAAAAGCTACGAAGCACTGGATAGCTGTTTCGACATGTTTGTGTCTCATCAGAAGTGCGAATTTATCGACCCGACTGGGGATCGAACCCGGTTGTGCTATATCGTGTAAATGGGAAATGAAAAATGGTCTGGTCAGCTGCTCGGTGGCCTAGTGGGTAGCATGCTTGAATTCTACCTGTGAGGTCCCGGGTTCGATTCCTAGTCGGGTCGATAAATTCGCACTGCTAATCTGACCCAACCAGGTTGAAACAGCTGTCCAGTGCTTCCTAGCTTTTCAGTTCACGCTTCATTTGCTATACACACGACGAATTCCCATTTAGAATATTTATTTTTAATCACACATTTGTCATGGACAGCAGACGGGGTGGAACCCCATAGTCACGAAGACCTGCCGTTCAATGATGGCAACCGGCAACCTAAGCCCAGGGATTTTGAGTGGCGAATCACTTAAGGCCCCGTTAGGTTAGTTGTGGTATTGACCTGGAAGACAGCAAAGCTGCTTGCCACCAAGTTGGGTGGTGTTGACAAGGTTCGAACCTCAGACTGGAGGGTGACCGGTGACGGCGACTAAACTACTGCGCCACAACCACCCTCAGATGGTGGCACTGCAGCACTGTCGAATTATATTGGAACTTAGGGAATTGGGGGGAGGCTTCCAGAGAAAGCTGTATGCTTTAACAAGTAAATGTGATCAAGACAACGTATAAAATGATATTTCACGGACTGTGCTTCATTTCACACACAAGGAATGGAAGAGCCGACGGATAGGAGTGTGTGCAAGCCACCAGGGACGGTATAATGGTTAACTGCAGTGGATTTCGGCTTCCTACACCCAGAACCCGTTAATAAATTTCGTCAATGATTCCGCAAACACTAAACAACAGAACATTGTGCATCGTGGTACCGCACTGTTCGAAGTTCGTACACATTAAGTAGTATGTCGATAGGAATTAATCTGGATTTGATTATGCACTCAACATCAATTATGGTACATCTCACGAAAAATCTGTCAACTACTTCTAAAAGATCACCAAGATTGCATAAAAGCAGAAACTTCTAGCCCATTTTGATTTTCACCGAACAAAACAATGCAAACGGTATGCAGGGATGGCTCGATTTTCCAATGACCTGAAGTCTATTGTGTCCCCATTGATACAGAGAATGGTAGTTTTGTCAGTTTGCTTGTGGAGATAAAAATATTATTCTCAGACTCCCCTTTTATCCACATGCGGTTCAACAGAGGGCTTTCTCTAATGCTGAATACATAAGCATGCAATGAATGTTGACCAACATAGCCTACATAGCATTTGAGGACATCCGACTGTTTAGGAGAACAGCTAGATAAGAGAGGAGACCGCAGTGATGTATATTTACCTGTAAGTTGACAACTACCCCATGGAACAGTTTTCGAAGTTTCCAGCTTGTGGTTCGAGTCAGATGAAGTTGTAGAGCAGACATTTTCCTTGTTTGCCTCACCCAATTGGGCACGACGTTTGGCCAACTTTTGGTCACAACACTGGCGCATGAACTGCACTAGAGTTCGTCCATGCATACGTACAATCACCGCCGCATGAAGCACGGAGGAAGGCGGCTTGACAAAGGCAGCCCCGAGATCGATGTTGTCAGAAGGTTCAGCTACATCTACTTCAACGCTACCAAACAGGCACCGTGCATGTAGATGCAGCCAGTAGTAATAACCACGAGCACACACGGCCGCCCAAGATTTGCCAGCGAAAAAGTCCGAGAAACGAAGTGGGATGAGCTCCACAGTAGCCACAAATTTGCACCACTAAATGAATAAATCAGATTATCGTAAACAAAATCCGAGAAAATCATAGGCCCAAACAGTCAAAATAGCTGAGATAAACAAGGACTGTCCAGAAAAGTGTATAAGATATTAAGTACATGAAACAATATTCATCTCATCCGGATCCTTGCCTCACCACATTGAAACCGGCATTGTTAACTGATTACTTCGAGAGAGATAAGTAGCACTCACCAGATAAATTGGTAGTCTTTGTTGCTTGAGCACTGGTGCTCATAAAAATAGACTCTATCAGGGTATAGCGAACGAACGTGTTATGTGATACAAAGGAAATACCAAGGATCAAATAGATTCACTCAATCCTCAATTACCGTCATAAAACCTGGTTAGTATGAGCGTGCTACGAGCTAAATTCGAAAGTCCACTATTATAGGTGCTTGCAACGTATCCTGAAGATAGTCTGCAAGACGATCTCCAACGACGACAAACAGATGGTGACAAATTTCTGCAGTGCCACCCCTAACAACGTTTGAGTATATGCTCCAATGATTTAGGTACATTATACAAAAACTTCCGCAAACACCATTCGCAGGCTGGGACTACTACCTCGGTGGATAGCCTAAGACCAGGCTAGGTGGTGTCAACGAACGGTGATTTGGCTTTTGAAACACCTATGGCCGACGGAAATGAAGCAGAAATCGCGTTCTTCTGTTACAGATAGCCAAGGATGTGAAATACACTAATCTTACAAGTCCATAGAACCAAATTATCCTCAGGCGAGATAAAATTGCAGAAAAGTAGAAGGCAAATCACCACCACGCAAATCAGAAACGTTTGTTACAATCCCATCAAGGCCGATTGATTTTTCAACTTCTTTGAGCAACCTTTAAGTAACCTTTCTCACATAAAACAGTGAACATCGATTAGACCAAGTCCAAAAGTTACTATTGAAATAGTTTATCCCATCGAGGACTTGTGATAATTATTATACTTTGCGCCCTACTTAAATTCACTAAGGAATTGGTCAGGACTTATTTACTTGATGTTCCACTGCTTACCTAAAGCAAACTCATGAAAACGGTTAGTTCCACATGATGCACTTCACTCCATCTATATGATTGACGCTATGGGATAGCTTGATTCCATGTACAGCTACATCTGATTTATGAAATTTAGAACACACACCGCCCCCTCCCTTGATAACTAAATTCTGATTTCCTTTCCTGTAACAACTTAGTTCATCGATAAGAAGTAAATCCAGGACCTGGAGTGACAGAAACCACAAGACAATAGATGCGGTCTTAAACTCAAAGACAGTGAAGACATACCACTAAAACACTCAAACGATGTACGGAACACCACTTTCATTGTCAATGATCTTAGTGCTTAATATAAACCCGCACCCGGAGGACTGAGTTTCAGATGAACACAGACGCCAAATAGACTCTTGTAGTTACACACTCTTGTCAACTCTTATTCAACTGTCCCGAGTGCCAGCAGTCAGAAAACTTGACAACCACTATGTTGAGAATCATTGCCACCCTTCACACCATCTCTTTTCGAAACAACCAAAGTTATACATTCGGGTATTCATATCTGAGTTCCTTCTGTTTTTCTACAACCCTACTAAATTAGTACTCCACACCGTTATCAAATTAAACTGATTGTTATACTGTAGTTATAATAACGGTGCGCTGTCAACTAGTTAGTCGACATTATGGTTGGCTTCGCATTAGCATTAAATAATACAGTTCAACACTCCCATGGTAACCCAACTTCCGCGAAAGTAGGAATCGAAAATGAAGAATGTTACGATCAATTAAATGGCAGAACATTCCTTTACCGGCTACGAAAACTTAGTCATAATTTTGAAAAAAAAACGAATTACAAGAAATCATGCACGTGCAGCTTACATTCATGTAATTTTCCAAATAAGCCTTTCCCAGGCTGATAATAACAGCTTGTAAGTGGGCGTGCGGAGTGGGTAATTGTCCAGTTAGTACAGCTTCATCAGTCGCATCCAGCAGTGAGTGATGGGATTTCAACTTTTTATTGAGGATTTCACATTTAGTCGTCAGACGTTCGCAGGAAGATGTATTTTGTTCTTCATCGAGCAGCTCCGTCAACAATCGACAAACTAATGCATAGGACGCGTCAAGAAAACGTCCAGAATTCTGACTGAGAACAAATAGTATATCCCAAGTGCGGCATTCTGCGGCAATCTAAAATTAAATTAATACCGGGGCGCGTATTTTTAAATCATGGAGCGATTATTTCCAGGATGTGTTGTGCATCAGGTGAGCAAAATCAATAAGTCTGGAAGATTATCATGCATATGACTGGACAACATAAATGGAAATCCTGCGACTTATGACGCACAAAATGCTTTAAAGGTTAGCATAAAACCAACCAACAAAAGAACGGCATTAGCTAGTAAACACCGTGTATAAACTTTTATATCACGCCATCGTGCCGAGTAGAACGGTCGCATTCCATACTCCGGAGGAATTCTTGTTTAAGAATAGGAACCAGCAACTTACAGTCTGGGGACTTGGAGTGTCGAATCATGTAAAGGCTCTCTGTACCTTCGGTGTGGGGCTGGGTTGGACGAAAAGGAAGATTTTTAACCATTACACGTTATGGGGTACTTATTTTCACGGTTGTAAGAACTGACTTATTTTCATTATACACGGGCAGCTTGCATGAAACACAGCTTTATCTTCAACAATATTTATACAACACCGGTTTGATAACAAGCATGGTGCAATCGAGGAAGAAATGAAAACAATGGGGCTAGGGTAAAATAAAAACAATCGTTGAGTTAACACAAACTTCCTTAATCTCACAGAGTGAGTACTTTTGAAGTGGTACAATTACGTGTATCATTTCTCGTTTCTATTGTTGAACTATATAGTCGTAAGACGGACATCGACCGAAGTACTAAATGCGCCGCTACAGGCGACGATAACAAATGCGGACAGAGAAAGAGAGAGAGATAATCAACTCGATTGCGTACTGAGATGTATTTGGCACCTTGGATGTTTGACACCACCCGAAGGATGTATGGTCCGATAAACTGGAAACCGGCCCCAAATGGACTGCAGTTTAAAGACACCAACGGGCTGCTTGTGGTTCAGGCTTTGGTTAACCGAGTACTTTGGTTGTTGACTCTAAGAAAATTTACCTGCTTTAGCCTGGGCAATCAAGCAGGATCGCGCCTTCGAGAAAATCATGAACCGTTTTCCCTTTTTGCAAAGATTATTGTACGGTGATTTGTTTGGCACAGTCTGAACTCAGATGGGTGGTGGTGGCGCAGTGGTTCAGTCGCTGTCACTGGTGTGCTTTGACCCTATGGTCAGAGGTTCGAGCCCCGCCACCCGACTTTAGTGGTAGGCAGCTCTGCTGTCGTTCGGTTTAATACCACGCATAACCTATCGGGACCCTATGTGGTTCGCCACTCCAAGCCCCGGGGATTAGGTTGCCGGTTTTCCCCACTGAACAGCAGATCCTCGTAACCATGGAGTTCGCCCGATTTGCTGTCCATCACACTTAGGCGTGCAATAAAACAATTTAAAAAATGATGCCGCTATCTACTGCGGGTGAAATGAAATGCAAAGGCCAGCCCCAGAAATCCACAGCAGTGCTCCAGAGATAAACCAGACATTGATCAGTGTATTCGTGACATACTCGAAATAGGTTCCCAATTCGCCCAACAATTAGGAAGGATGTTCAATTATGCAATTATTATTTCCCAGCTTGTTGTTAGAGAAACAGCAGAATTTATTGTTTGAACGTTGCACCAACACACTAATGGGGCCGTTCCTGTGCGTTAGTTGAAGACTGATATCGCCCGGCTCAATAGCACCTTCATGATATAGCCTTGTCCCAATTCAGTAAAACCTCATGTGGTGCATCACTCCAAGTTCCAGGAATGAGTTTGCCTGTTTCTAACTATGAATTATAGATCCTCGTGACTTGGAGTTCGACCCGTCCCAGTGACTCGTTACATAATAGCGTGGGTAATGAAATAGTAAAACCAGAGAATTCTCTTATCAAAATCACAAAATTAAATGGCCAATAAAATACAAAGAAACAAGCTCTATTTGATAACAATCAGAAGCCCATGGTTTTCCCATACATACCAAGTTGTAGACGTTCGAGAGCACACACAGTAGTTCCATTCTGGTGAGTAATGGCCGTGTCACCTTGAGGGACGACTCCGCCGAATACGACGCCAAGGTGGAACAAATGCTTTCAATTGCTTTGGATAATCTTTTTGAACTGACGACAGTAGGGATACCAGAATAAACTTCATCATTTGGCGTGGCACGTTCCAATATAATTGTACTTTCGCAGACACTGCCCTCATTTATGGAAGGAACAACTTTTTGAATCTAAAATATGCGATGTATTCATTAAAATTTACTCATACCAGGGAAGATAAATTCGAAAACTCGACGAAGAAAGACGAGAGGTCCAGAGGGACTTCCATAGGGAATGGGTAAAACGTTCAATCCATCTTTTTAATAGTAGCAAAAGATCGGTTAGCGATATGTATCATACTTGATGGTAACTGATTGGTGCGCACCAGACAATTCTAAAAATTATCACGCGACGATTATTACAGTATGAACTAAATGTATGATAACCTTTCATAAGATATAAGACAGGAATCCGACGTGTACTCCACCTTTCCCAAAGAGGGCAGTATGCTTCTATTTCGCTCGACTTAATTTTGCTATATATCTGATACGAATAAACAAACTATTCGGTTAGTTTAACTTACACTGCTGTGCTTGTTAAATCTTTCTCTTAGTGTTTCGTGTTCTTAAAGCATATCGAAATGTTTTGGGATGGACTGTGGTTGTACTGACGGAGCGTATCTACGTCTAAGCAAGTTCAGTGATTAACCTGTGAATTCAAGTCAGGTCAGGTGAGGTCAGGTTGCACAGTACTGATAATTTTCAGTTCAGTTCAGTTCTCACGGGAGGAATTGTGGCTCTTGCCAGTCGAGCGTCTAGATTCGTGTGTTGTCGGCGAGTTTCCTTGGCTTCCAACACTTCGATATGCAATTTTTCTGAAAGGCAGAAATATGTGGTGCAGTATCACATCCATTGTGGTTGGGTTATAGATGGTACTGAACGCTTACCTCAGGGAAAGCCGCTATCCAACACTCATCAAGTGCCTTTTTAAAAGCAATCACAGTACTGCAGCTTACCACTGACAGCGGCAATCGGTTCCACAACGGAATTACCCTGTCAGTGAAAAACGTTGCTCTCAGTTTTAGCCTAGAGTGGCTTCTCTCCAAACGTAAGTAATGTCCCCGCGTGCCTCTATGCGGGACCCAGGAGAACAGGTCGTCAAGCCCAAGACCTGATACGCCCTTGACTATCTTAAATGTCTCGATTAGGTCTCCTCTCATCCGCCTCCTTGTGAGGGAGAACAGATTTAAATCTCTGAGCCGCTGTTTATAGCTTTTACCCCGTTGCCCAGCTATCATTCTCGTGGCTAGACGTTGAATCCTCTCTAAGGTATCGACGTCCTTCCGAAAGAATGGAGCCCAAGCCTGCACACAATATTCTAGATGCGGACGGATGATGCTTTTATAAAGAGGGACAAGGATCTCTGGTTTTCTGCACGTCACCGTTGCGCGACGAAACAGGTGTCCTCTGGCCTTGTTTACGGCCTTCACACATTGGGTGCTGGGTTTGAAAT